CGGTATATACTGGAATACGGTATTTTGTGTGCTGCTCCAACACTCTTATAGTCCTTATAGTCCTCTCTCCATGATAAATTAGTTTTGAAAGGCTTACAAATCATTCAAATTATTTTGCTCAGTATTACTGTACTTCAATTGATTTAGACAAAGATTAACAATGTCATTCCTCAACCAAAAAGTGAGGAATAAAATCCTGGCACAAATTACACCTTTGGTGAAAAAAGGAGAACGTTATATGTATGATATACAAAAATACAATTTTTTTATGATTTTGTAAGAAAATCAGCTCTTCCATTTAAAGGGTATGCAGGGAAACAAGTAGGTCAAGAATACTCTGTTTTCATGTTAATTTCAACTTGTATAGTGATTGTGAAGGAAAACTCTATGCATTATATATGCATACCCAAGTTTAAATGTTTCTGTAGGATTTACATTATAAGAAATTTTGGCCATAAGATAAGCTATTAGGCCTGAAAATAATAGGTGTTGCCACACGATAAAACAGTACAACAAATGGCAGCTCTACGAAAGAGCGCAAAACATGACTTTCAGAAAACCAAAAGACTGAGTTATTGTTACAAAAATTAGGCAAATTTGTACAGTACTATAATTTATAGATAGAAATATAAGTAAATGAGTCAGATATTTTGCCTGGTATCATTATACATGTAAAACAAACTAAAGTTCATACGTTCGTTACGGACCGCCGTTTCTGAACATTATAATTTCGGTTTCTGATTGATTAATATTCATGCCCGTATGACTGAAAAAATCTGAAATATAGCTAACTTGTAACTCAATTGCTGTTTCAGCACAATTTACATTGTCATATCCGTAAAGAATACATATAATATCATAATTTCATTTGCCATGTAAATGGCTCAGTGGATTGTTGGTTCACACAAAGTGAGATAACTCATTCATGGGTAAATACATTCAACCGGTACCTTTGACCTAGTGTCTAAGGCGTCCGCCAACGGATCGGGAGGTTGATGGTTCGAGTCCCACGGGGTGCGGTAATTAAAGGATGAATGATTGTCATGGGACTTGTTCCGAAATGGCCGCTTTCATGAGGCGCTAGGTAGTTAAAATGAATGGTTACCGATATCTTTCCGTCTGGCGCTTGGCATAGTGGTAGGAATTGAGAGGTATATGTTATGCATGCAAAAGGTGTCTCATAAGTCAAAAATGACTGGCCCTTCCAGTAAAGGTGGCATTATAATAAACAATACCTTTACCTTTTTATATTAACATATTTATACCTCTAAATGAACATGCTTAGTGATTGAACAACCCTCTTAGGTCGCGGTCGCTGTTTCCTCTATCATGCGTTCCTTGGTTTTTATACATAGTTATCATTTCCTTGAAAAAATCATTTTTGAAGTTCCACCGAAAATAAAACAAAAGTAAAACAAATAATAAAACACAAAGGGTATTAACGCAAACATTACATCTTGCTTTCTTACGTTACATCGTGCTTTCTTACTTGTACATCTTGCAATCTGACTTATACATCTGGCATTCAGACTTTTACATGTTGCTTTCTTAGATGCTTATTATGCTCACTGTTGTGTGCGTCTTGCATAATTATATGTTGATATCATTATCTAACGATCAATTATTATTCATTTGTTGATCTGGTATATTAATTCAATAACTTAACCTGCAACTGTTTTTATTTGGGTCTATTTACTCAGCTTGAATGACGAATGTTATAAGGTATAGAATGACGCATAGCCGAAAGCCGAATGCAACAAGCATAATACGACGCGACATCTGGTGTAGTAATACGTGACACCAAAATTATGCTAACAGGTGGCGCTACAGTTTTATTCTCGGTAGAGTCCATATTGCGGTTCGGATTAAGTTTACCAAGTTACGTCCCTTTGTTTTAAAATTTCCATTTCCACTATGGAGGAAATAAGGTAAACATATATACAAAACGATTTAACCAATTTTTGTAATTTATACTGAAACTGTGTTGGTCAAATTATATTTCTAGCTGACAATGACAAGTTGCACATTTTCAAATCAATGATTTTAGAATTATTCTTTATCAACAAAATAATTATAAAATAGAACAGTTGTTCATAGTGCTTGGGTATAGAAGGTGATCTCGTATATTTTCGGTAATTTCAGTAAGGTTCCGTACATGTTTCCGAATATACGCCCTCTGTCGTAATTTAAGAGCGTAGTTTGCAACCTGCTTTGTTTGTATTGCACACAGTGTCTGCTTCCATGTTTTACTAATACATGTATGATCGATAAACATAGGTTTCCTATTTTTGTACACATTAAATGTAGACAGTTTACGATTATTATAATTAACTGAACTGATTTTTGCAACAAACATATAACTTTAACGTAGACAAATTTGAAGATAGTCAAAGAACGAACGATTCGTGCAAATTAAAGCAAAAAGTGCAAGTCATAATGCAGAATGTGCAAGCTAGGATGCATTGTAGAATAGCAAGAATCCAAGATGTACAAGTCAGAAAGCACAATGTAACATAAGAAGGCAAGATGTAATGTTTGCGTTAATACCCTTCCATAAAACAAACATATGTGCACTTTTCATGAAGTGTTATATTTCTTTCAACGGCAAACTATATCAATGTAAAGATAACATGTAAGCAACCAGAGCCATTATTTCCCTTGATTTATATTTGTAAACAACACCACTGTTATCAACGTAAAAAGTAAAGTTAAAGTTTAACAAAATCGATTTTACTTTGGTATTGTAATGAAACCCAAATAAAACCATTTTTATATCAAACTATACTTACCGTTATAATTAAAATAACGACACAACTTATATACCGTTATATCTATCTTGCCTACAGAGGCTATACGAACTGTTACATCCAACTTCCCGACAAAAGCTTTACATATTATTTTATATATCCAACTTGCCGACATAAGCTTTATAAACTATTATATTATATCCAACTTGCCGACATAAGCTTTTAATACGGTCCTACCCAACTTGCCGACATAGGCTATACGAACTGTTACATTCAATTTCTCGACAGGAGCTATACATATTATGTTATGTCCAAGCTACATGTACTGTTATATTAAACTTGCCGACAGGAGCTATAAATACGGTCAAATCCAACTTGCCGGCAGACACTATTCTTTCTGTTGGCAGAATATCCAACTTGCTTTATACGTATAATGTAATATCCAGCTAATTTACTGAGGCGTTACATACCTTTATATCAAACTTGCCAACATAAGCTTTACATACTGCTTATCCAACTTGCCAATAAAAGCTATATTTTCCGCTTGATCCAACTTGTAGACACATGCTAAAATGAATGTGTTGTCCATCTAACAGATAGAGGCTAAACATACTGCTTTATCCAACTTGCCAATAAAAGCTATATTTTCCGCTTGATCCAACTTGTAGACACATGCTAAAGCTAGAGGCTAAACATACTGTTTTATTCAACTTGTAGACCAATGCTCAAGCTTATGTGTTGTCCATCTTACAGATAGAGGCTATACATACTGTTTTATTCAACTTGCCAATAAAAGCTATATTTACCACTTGATCCAACTTGTAGACACATGCTTAAGCTAATATGTTGTCCATCTTACAGAAAGAGGCTATACGTACTGTTTCATTCAAATTGCAGACAGAGTCTTTAAATAATGTTATATTGTCTTGCTGCTGACATTAATTATTAATATCGATACATCAAACTCGCGGGCAGAAGATATACAACTTATTGTCTCAAAACTTGCCGAGACAAGCTATACATAATGTCACATCCGTCTAACAGACATAACATACCATTATATCCCACTAAACATTTTGATTACCAATAACAATTCATTTGTACCAAAACCCCCCGGCAAGACCATTGCCAACAGGAACTCGAACAAAAAGATATGTTTCCCGCTTTGCATCGATAATTTTATTTACAAATTCGAATTGTGTTTCTTTATATTGATAGGTTAAAAGGAACAATACTAAATAGCAAAATGTACAATGTAGAAAAATTTGTAAAGTTAACAATTCATTTAAGTTGAAATATACATATTTCAAGTTTCAAACATTAATAATATGAATAAGGCACAGCCTCAAAGCGAGCTCTTTGAAACAAATTGTAAAAAATCTTAAACATTTCGCTATTTTAACCATATGTATTAAACCCATAGCAGCTGCACACTTTTTTCACATTTTATGATTACAATACACTGAGAACTGCACACTTTAGGCTACACAATTCATTCAACACTACCACACACTATTTTGCCTTCGAAATATGGTCAATTCATGTTTTATATGATAATTATATAGATTGAATCTGCCCGTCAAAGAACATAAATTCACTTAAAATTCAACTTCGGAATTAATAATTCTGTTTTGGGAAATGGATGTCGCGAAACGGGAACCTATCGGAAGTTGATATTGACTTGCCATCTGTTTATATTTCTTTTTTATTTTATGGAATAGTTCCGTATAAAATTAGTTATTTTCGCTGTACATAATTCATCCAAACAAAATATACTATAATGTTTGAATGCCTGTTTTACGAGCTAGCCCTTTGAACTCGCCATTATTTAAGAAATTGCAATAGACTTGACAGTTTAAAATTATAGTTAACTTCTCAAAATGCACCCATTTGAGAAATATATCAACATTCCAGAGGGAAATAAATGTATTTATTTAATACTAATAAATGATTATTGAGCAATATTGATTAAATTAGATGCATATTTTCATTTTTGTATTTCCACAATTAAAATACAGTAAATTTTACTGCAGTGAAACACACTAGAGGTTTACTGGTACGAAACCCCGGTAATCCTCGCATGTATCAGTGCTATACACTGGGCATGTAAAAGAGCCAATGAATCTATTCAATAAGAGCTAGGGACTTGTTCCCGGATTTCACGGAAGTAAGGACCCTACTGGACATAAATGCATGCACTTTTGTAGGTTATCCTTGACCGCCCGGTCTAAAAGAAAATCAATCAATCATTTTTCGAATTTTTACGGTTGTCTTGTCGGACTATTTTCTTCTCATTACAGTCAATACACAAAATTTAAGGGGAAGTCTTTCAAACTGTAATGTCAAAATATGAAAACTTATTATAGACAGAAAATTCAAGTTCTTCTATCAATACAGAACTAATTTCATATTGTGATATGATAATTGTTATAATTTACCAGTGGCTACCGCCAGTCATGAAAAATTCATTTTCATATCACTCGATCAAAAAAGATTATATATTAGTAGAAAAATATGAATATCCTATACATATTGCACAATGGAAATGAAAACATATGGACACTGACACATTACCACAGTAACCTTTATGTGAAAACAACCAAATCGTGTTTTTGACTTGAAATCTTTTGATTGATTTAAAGCCACTGACCTCCAGATTTTAAAATGAAAAAAAAAAAATGAAATAAAATTGCACGTAAACAGTAAATACTGATCTAGTAAGGTTTATTGTAAAAAAATCATCATTTCTGTCACCTTAATTCAAGAAAGAATGTTGACAAAAGTGTTAATATATCGGGTTTTTTCCCATAATCTACTACGTTACTAACGCAGTAGACAATATTAAAAGGAGAAGATAATTCATTTAACGCGGTCACGTGTCACATTAGTGGTCCGGAAAAATCCCGGTATCCGGTATGCTCGGGATCGTTTATAAATTTTCGTCATTGAGTAGGCCCCTATCATATTCCAAGCTAAATGTTAAATCGGTGAATTGGTGAATTGCTCGTCATATATATGAAATAATTAATCAATTACAATTTAAGTTTTAGAGCCATGAATTAATACAAATATAAAAACAAAAGCAGTTTTTCGTAATCTTATATGTTTGATAACATCCCGGATACCGTGCGTTCCGGAGAACAGGTCTCGATATTGTCCTGTACGATCACGTGATACTAGAAAAAAAACCCGGATGAAAGGATTCCGTGCTATAATAAAAGAAGATATTTCCCGTTGGTGGAAAAGCGAACTGTTTGTTTTCAAAGCAATTATGTTAAAATATATTAAAAATTTTGAAGTGTCATTTTGATTTTTTTTCAACTTTATAATGATTTTGAGGGAAATTTTGAAATATTAGCAAGACGGCAGTTTTTCTGTTATCTTTTGGAGGTCAGCTGCTTTAAAAGGACATCGATATTTACTTACCATCTTTTATTGATTATAGATGTTCAACAATATTCACTTGCCATTCTGGTTTTTTATAAAGAAGTCACTATTCCCTCATAGTACAGTCCCTGAGGACCTTTTGTGTGCAAAAAAGGTCCATAGATAAATGTTATACCAATGTAAAGCTAAATGTTTGAAGTTTACAAAAATTTTGGGTAGACATGTCAAATCATGGTACGTTTTGAGAAATCCAAGATGGCCGCCAAGATGGCCGCCAAATTATTGAAAATGGCTAATAAGCAATTTATATGATAAAATTAGTTCTTTTTTTTATTTATTTTGGTACAGGTGATGTTAAAACTTCACATCCTATTGGAACAATATGAAAATTGAGGCATTTCCATTATTTTTTTCATATTCTATGAATTTCATAGATAAATTTGCTAAAAAAGCATGAAAAATTATCAAAAATTGATATGGGGCTGACATTTTTTCCTACCAGCTAAGGCATAGCGGTTTAAATGAATATTTTTACTATATACTACAAAGACTTGAACAAGATCATACTTATATCACCCTTTTTTATCTTTATTGTAAAAGAATGTGGATTCTGATATTCTTAAAGTGGGTGGGGTAACGAAAACTAAGTCTCAGTATTTTGTTTACTGATCTGTTATGATAATTAAAACTATGAATAGTCAACATGTATTGCACTTTGGCATGTACCTAAAGTTATAAATAATTAAGAAACTTAGACTGATATTTTGTTTATCAATATTCAACATGTTCTGTTGCCATGGCAACGGGGAAGTAAAATGAAAGACACACCTGAAACGTGTCACACTTTCAACTTTTAGCATTTTAAGCATGTTGTTAAGAATTACACAAACTTATAGATAAATAATCTGTGCACAATGCCAGGGTAACAAATTGAAAAACATGTAACATTAAAAGAAGTCACATTTATTTCTAGCAAATTATCAACACAGATAACAGCCGATATTTTGAAATTAGATGAATATATTTATTTCAAGAGTTTGCATCATGCATTTGCTTTTCTCAAACTGCTATACATAGAAAAAAGTCATGTCAAATGTGAATGTTGTTATGTTTGGAAAGGGTAATTAATGGTGATAATAATAAGTAAAAGGCAGTCTTTTATTTAGTTCCGCCCATTGTTTTCTCGTTTAGGGCACACGCTTTTTATTACTTGGGGACCATACGCCGCTTTTCATGGAATGGCACGGAAGTGTCACATTGAAGGTTCCATGATAACCGCCGTATGAACACATCTGCGGATGTTTCTAAATTCAAAATTTTACTATTTCATGTTTAAATGTTGAATTCTGCTTAAGCCGGTGCTAGGGGGTGTGGACGGTAACTTGCACTTTCCAGTACCGTCCATGAACAGGCTCAATCAAACCGAGCCTGCAACATTTTCAATTTTGCCGTGTTGGGCTTTCTTTAGGGATTCTGTATTTATCTATTTTATGATCACATCCGTGTTATTTGTGCCGTGTGGCGGCTGTAAAAAGTCTCCCCGTACATTTAATCAATGATGTTATATTTTCGATCCTTGAAGATCGTTCAGCACGACATTATTGTTGTGCTTGTAGTATTTTTAGTTTCAACTTTTCGGCATTTTCTAGTTGGGTGGTTCCAATATTCCTACTTGAATAATGTTGAATCACCCTTAGGATATGTTGCCTGCTTTTTAAAATTTGTCTTTTGACGTCTTATCTGTGATACGCAGGCTTCATAACCTCTGATCCCCTTTCAAAATTCCATTTTATTTAGTTCCGCCATTGTTTTTCTCGTTTAGGGCACACGCTTTTTATTACTTGGGACCATACGCCGCTTTTCATGGAATGGCACGGAAGTGTCACATTGAAGGTTCCATGATAACCGCCGTATGAACACATCTGCGGATGTTTCTAAATTCAAAATTTTACTATTTCATGTTTAAATGTTGAATTCTGCTTAAGCCGGTGCTAGGGGGCGTGGACGGTAACTTGCACTTTCCAGTACCGTCCATGAACAGGCTCAATCAAACCGAGCCTGCAACATTTTCAATTTTGTCGTGTTGGGCTTTCTTTAGGGATTCTGTATTTATCTATTTTAAGGTAGAAATGTATATAAACATCATCAAAGGGTAAACATTTAAGACTTTGCAGCTAAAACTAGAAATAAATAGGTCACTGTTTCAAATTCTAGGTCAACCAATATCAAATTTTAATGACAATCAAATTTATAGTTGAGTTCAAACTTTTTGGTTGTAGCTTGTTTTATGAAATTCTAACTTGCATTAGATAAAATTCTAGGTCAACTGATTTCAGTGTTTAATTCTGCATCTGAAATTTTACAATCAAAATACAAAGAGATCATTAGAACAGATTAAGGTCAGCTGGCATGTCATATTGTATCTGTTATACAAATATCTTTAGCTTCAAAAACAAGAAAGTAAGTCACGAGGTCTTAAATTCTAGGTCACCTTATACCAGTAGGGCCATGATTTGAACAATCAAAGAGGAACACAAGACAATTCTTCCAACCAAATGGTCTTGCATTGTGGTTTCTGAAATAAAGAGTTTTTTATATAAAAATCGACATCTAGGCAGAGCCATTTTTATGCTCCCCGAAAAATTATGGGGGAGCATATAGTCGCCGGGTGTGTGTCCAAAACCTAGTCGGGGAGCATCACCTGGTTGAACTGGCTCTTGTTTTAATCCAGACTCATGATCATTGTTTGATGCCTACAAACTTAGCACTTTACGGAGAGTGTCGGATGTGAAGTCCAGGCATCTCTTGTTCCACAGACAACAATTGATCTCAGACATTGAGTTTTACGGTCATTTGTCTGTCAAAAAGGTTAGTACCGTAGCTTAGTTGAAATTGGTCATTACTCTTCTGGTTATTTATCCATGAAAGTCAGATAGTTCAACCAACCTTCAAGCTATCAACAAAGAAGTGTTGAAATTGGCGTATAACCCAGGCCCGGTCCTATCATGATTTGAAGAAACATGGTAAAAGTCTTCTAGAAATTGTTTCACATGCTCTAAACAATGGGGTTAAAGGGATGATTTTATAAAGGATTTCATATATAAGTTAGACTATGTAAATCAATTGACCCTTGGGAAAGGTAATTATAATCAAACGGATCATGACTTTACCATTTTGCCGTGTTGGGCTTTCTTTAAGGATTCTGTATTTATCTATTTTACCAAGCTTAGAAGTTGTGTATTATTACTGTTATATGATTTATATCGTGACATAAATTGATATGGTCATAGAATGAATGCTTCACACTTAAACATCAAAGCAATTTATTTATGGAGAAGAAAGTTTTCAAAGCCTTTTCTTTATAACAGAAAGTAAAATGACTCCTGGGGTTATGTCAACTTTGATCAGATTGTCAAGATTTGAAAAAAAAATTAAGTTTTTTTTTGACAATGCTTTTAACCCAAAATCTAAGATCTGGGCATTTGGTTTTGGAAAAAAATATGATTTTAATGCTTCCGAGGGATCACTTTGTTTCCAGAATTTTTCCAATGTGTCTCCATATGAAATAAGTTGACCCTAGGGGTGGGTTAAATTTTCATTTGAATAAATTTTGTACTGGTCTATACAAGGCTACAACAGAAATAATTAGCTATAGGCATTGGTTTGGGAGATGTTATTTTTTTTTTTAGCTTTTCCTATATGTAAATTGAAGTGACCCCTGGCATAAATGAATTTGACCACAAGGTCGTGATTTAAGCAAATTTAATAGTATTATATACTAGGTCCTGCAGTTATAGAGAAGAATATTTTCATGTTTTCCTATATTTACACTGTGTCAAGAAAGTTTACTCCGGGGCTTCGCAAGAAACATGAATGTGTACTTCTTGACCTTTTACCAACCAAGACCTTGATGTTGTGTCATGCATATCATAAGCACATAGTCTCACGATGGCGATTATTTGTGCCAAGTTATTTAAAATCTTCCTTAAAGTCAGAAGTTATGGAGAACATATAACCTTGACCTTGGTTGCAGCGACCTGGATGTTGAGGTATGTAAATTGTGTCGTGGTGGGGATCATTTGTGCTAAGTATTTTAAGTATTTTTAAAACCTTTGAATTGTCAATAAGTTATAGAGCGGACATGAAAAAAAACGTTTTTACATTTGACCGTTGAGTGTGACCCTGACTTTCAGGGTTGGGACTTGCTTATTGTGCTCTGCCAATGGTGTCATAATGTTGATCACTTCTGCCAGTTTATCTCAAAAACATTTCAGAGGTTTAAAAGTTAGAGACAGACGCAAAATGTAGACTTTCTAACATATAAACTGTAAGTGTGACCCTGACCTTTGGGGTAGCAATTCAATTATTGCGATCTGCACATCGTCTCATAATGTTGATCAATTGTGCCATGCTATTTAAACAAAATTGCATAGGTTGAAAAGTTATGGAGAGGACACGAAATGTAGATTTTTATACATTTGACCTTTAAGTGTGACCTTGACCTTGGGGGTAGCAATTCAATTATTGCGATCTGTACATCGTCTCATAATGATGATCAATTGTGCCAAGCTATTTAAACACAATTTCATAGGTTTAAAAGTTATGGAAGGGACACGAAATGTAGATTTTTATACATTTGACCTTGACCTTTAGTGTAGCAACCCAATGTTTGCGTTCTGCACATGTTCTTATACTGGTTATCAATTGTTATTGTGATCACTTGTGCCAAGTTATTTAAAAAAATCAGGGGTTAAAACGTTATGGTGCGGACTTGAAAGTGTTACGGACGGACAGACTGACAGACGGGGTCCATTCCTATAATCCCCTTAATTTCCGCTACGCGGAAGGCGATTAAATATGTTGGTTTAGTCCCATCAGAAAAAGCCATACATATAAAAGCTCAAGATCTTTTTATTTATTTCTGGGAATATTTGAAAACATTACGCATTGTCAGTTCTATTTTTAACTTCTGTGACTAAGATATACAATAATCCGATTTGTGCAAAAAAAAAACAACAAAACAAAATTTCTGTCAAATTTTATCAAATATAATAGCCTATTTTTACGTCACATCAACACTTTAAAAGGCTTTGTGGCGATTTTCCTGCTTTACTGAGGAAGACTTTAATATGTTTCCCTCCGTGCATTATTTCATAATATTGACACCTTCTGGTCATCTTTTAAGGCAAATCAGAATTACAAAGTCTATAAGAAAGTGAAATTTGGCTTATTCAAATAAAGAAAACATTAAAATTGTTTGTAAAATAAAGAAATCAAAGTCATAATTATGTTCATCCTGATTCCAAATTCAAAAACCTCCTGAACTTGATCTTAATTTGGAACACACTAGTGTTCATGTGCATTACATGCTACCGGACAATTTGAGAAATGCTGTTTTTCCTCATCTCCAATTACATTGAAACTATGGTTTTAAGACTGCACTTTTATAACGACTTATTTAAAACAGAAAGGTTATATGAATTTTGGATACGTTCAGCCGCGGTTTATTCCACATGATTTATTGATATTTATTGATGATGAGAAAATAACAAAACTGTAACAGTTGATATGATTACCAATCATATGAATGTCTTTGAGATTTTATTTAAATGCTTACCTTTATATCATTATAGCTTATTACTACGTGACGACAATTTACATACTTTTTTGTGTGAGTGGAACAAAATCGCTCCCAAAGTTTTACAAACACGTATTTTTTCTTATAACTGGTAAAAAACGGTTTAAAACAAAATCAAAATCTATCATTACACCAATTTTGTTAAGTGCCTTTCTGATATATATAACATGTTTAAATGCGTTAAAATCAACAAATTTATATCACAGTTATAAATATTAAAAAAGAATACTCGACATTAAATGAAATTTCAACAATTATACAAATCTAGATATGACTATGTAAAACTATTTGCATATAAACATACTCTTAAAGTGACATTATGCCCATCCAAGGGTATAGGCCTACATGTATAGTGAGTGAACAGGTGATTATCAAAATAAGTTTTCATTTTGCCATAATTCCTTTTAATTTAATAATTTACTTCCCATAAACAATAAATAATGCACAGATCCAAATAAAATTTCTGTAAATATCTATTAGAATTTACCTCTAACGCTCAGTTTATAAAAAGAGTGGGTCAGTCTTTTTATATTATAGGCAGATTTATAATTTTATCCTGAACGTTTTCAAATATCAACTGTTGTTCAAACACCATTTTAACAGTCAATATTTTGAAATATAAAGTCAATTCAGCTCAACTTGACTATGAAAATATGAGCATAATGTCACTTTAAATTCTTTTCAACGTGATTTATAATAATATTATGAAACAGACCGCCATCTTCTTAAATAGTCACATATTTCTAAAGAACGAAGTGAGACTGCAGTAACAAAACTCATATTGTTTACATATCGGAATTACTTATATTGTATAATTAATTTGAGACTTTTAAGTTTAAGTTTTGTGTACATTCTTCTGTAGCTTGTTCTTAATGTATACTGGAGTTTGTCCCTACTGTATCCGATTTTCAATAGGTAAAACAATGGAGATTCTATACAACGTTTTAGGGATTCTGTTTTTCTCTATTTTAATGTGTTTAAATGGAGGGGTTGTTTTTGGTAATAAGACAAGATGCCATTTGATGAACAGTCCGGAGTTTGTTGATGATCATTTTCTAAACAACGTTTTAGGGATTCTGTTTTTCTCTATTTTAATGTGTTTAAATGGAGTGGTTGTTTTTGGTAATAAGACAAGATGCCATTTGATGAATAGTCCGGAGTTTGTTGATGATCATTTAAGACATACTGACCGTATAACAAAGCATTAGGTGGTCTGACCTGTAGGTCACAAAATAATTTATAAAGAATTTTGAGGCTGGAATATGGCCTGAAATGATAAAACTGAAAGCCTCATATGTTTCCGGGTTTCTATCATTTTACCACTTTGTTGCCATGGCAACTGAACCAATAAATGTTGTTGGTAGAATGAAAATCTACCTTTTAAAAAATTATAGACTTAAGAACATTTTAAAATGTAATATTGTTGGTTATTTTTAGTCTTAATAATCGTTATATATCAGTTCACTAGAAATTGGGACTCAATTTTCGTGTACCCCACCCACTTTAGGAATTTCAGAATTCACATTCTTACACAATAAAAATAAAAATAAGGGTACAATTAGTAAGTTGTTGATCAGGTCTTTGTATAATATGGTAAAAATATTAGTTTTCATCACTATGCTTCGACTGATAGGAAAAAATGCCAGCCCCATGTCGATTTTTGATACTTTTTCATGCTTTTTTAGCAAAATTTCTCTATGAAAACAAAAGAATATGTATAAGAAAAAGGAAAAGGACCCTTTTTCATATTGTTCCAATAGGATGTGAAGTTTTAACATCACCGGTACCAAAATAAATACAAAAAAGAACTAATTTTATCATATAAATTGCTTATTACCCATTTTTCAATAATTTGGCGGCCATCTTGGCGGCCATCTTGGATTTCTCAAAACGTACCATGATTTGACATGTCTACCCAAAATTTTTGTAAACTTCAAACATTTAGCTTTACATTGGTATAACATTTATCCATGGACCTTTTTTGCACACAAAAGGTCCCCAGGGACTGTACTATCAGTATTGGTTTGATTGATTAAGACATAAAGTATTTTTACTTACCTTTCTTGCGATTTTGATATTTTTCCTCCACTGTCTGTATTGGAGGGACACCTTCGTTACTTTTCTCTGTTATCAAATAGATACAAATTTTATCGTTATATGTCTAGCTTAATTTTCTAAATACTCTTCTTTACCAAGTCTTATCAAACTGTATATTGTCAATTATCAGTAAACTTTCAAACATTGCAGTATATACAATTCCTATACATGTATTTATATTTTTCCACAAGGCAGGGGCGTACCTCGGCTTATTATGAGTGTACGCCGAGTGCCGGTTTTTTTTCCAGAGAGGATTTTATGTATCAAATATAGCTATGTGCTATAGTCAGGTATCTCTCTTGTAAAAAAAATTGGTTTTATATCCTTTTGTAACAAGTTTAGTTTTTCTTTGTTATTTTTTCTTTTGTTTCACCATAACTTAACGTGAGATATAACTTTAAAATGACCTGTATGACTTTAATACAAATACTACAGCTTAAATGTTTAGTGTCACGAGATTGTATCGTATTCACAGCTAAAATATAGTATCGCACGATCAATTAGCTTCTCCTTAAAATATTTTAAATGCGTATTATGTCAATGTTGTAGACAATAAATATTGTCTTTAACATTTTTGTTCTCAACTCTAGTCTTTCAATTTGCATTTGAAATATTTAAGTTATTTCATTACGAAGTTAAATGCCTCACGCACATAAAGCATGTTGGTATAAACAGACTCGCCAATTTGTTATCTAAAGTCGGCGAAAATAAAATAATTTAGACATGATGTGTCTTATATGGTTATATATATATACGTCATTGTTGTCAGAAGTGTGCAATTTTTTTACTCAATAAAATAATACAGTAGAAACAAATTTCTGTAGTGATATATTTTGTAAATACTGGTATTCTTTTTTACGGTCAAATAAGCAAAAGTTTAATTTGATTTGTGACGAGGGATGTTGTCAATAGTTCACTGCAAAGATCTGATTCACAGTGTCAAAGCTATTATACATCATTTGAAATGAATATAAGTTGAATGAATATTTCTAACTTAAAAATAATATACTGATTTATAGTTACAAGATAAAATATAAAAAGACATTCCATACAGCTTACTCACTCCCTTCCATTGTGCTGCAAACGCTAAATTGCTAACAAGATCTTAATGTTTCATATAGATTTAAATGTAAAAAATGAAATAAATGTTTACTTTTCACTGATTCGATTCATCTGAAAAAAAATGATTGTAATATATTGGACATATTCTTATCCTTATTTGGATTTTGACGAGGTTTATTTAGCATTATAACGCTTAACTCAAGCTGAAAAAAGAGAAAATTCCAAAGAAATTGTTTATATCATATTTTCACCCCCTTTCTTCATAATTGAATTTTTGATTGTACATATAAAATGTAACGCACATTCGAATAAGGTTACATCCTAAGCATACCTGTAGAATCAATTAGCAGCTACGAATATGTTGATCTACGCCCAAATTAATGATTTCATTTTTGATTTTTTTTTCGAAACTTTTCCTTTTTATACGCCCGTGCTTATTGGCGTATCGGTAGTTACGCCACTGCAAGGTACTGGAACTTTTTGATGATTGATGACGAAATTTGATTAACAGTTTAATAAAAAAAAAATCTGAATTAATACAATTATGGTTTATCTTATGTTTTCAATAGCAATTTATATCAACATTGTTGTTTGTGATTTGCTCTTGCTTTTGTGAATTGTCATATTCTTGTAATTACTGTTTTCATAAATTGACACAACTTCTTTGGTTTTGAATAGTATGATATATTTTTTCTACACAAGCCTGTCAGATATGCAAGCATGTATTTATTGTTACTAAGTATTATCATTTAACAGATGTTAATGTTGTGTAATCAATATGTGTAATGATTAACAAGCACAAATATTTCAAATGAAAAAAATAACCTGCACCTTGTCGTTTTTCTATCGCCTCGAGTTTTTTCTCCACACCAGTAAACTTTGCTTGTACTTCTCTCTTCACTTCAATAACATCTGTTTGCATTTTTTTCATTTCCTCATTCAATCGATCAACATCGGCTTCATAGTCCTTCCACCTTTTTACTTCTTCTTGTAATCTTTTCTCTTCCTCCGGATCTAGTGGACAGGTTTTGAAATTGGCAATTGCTTGCTGGATGTTAAGAGCTGAAGAACTTCGTCGAACAAGTATCTGTAAGGAATCCGATTGGACTAATTAGCATAACATATGCTTATTCATTTATTCATAAAACAAGTCAGTAAGGTTCTGTGTTGGTTTATTGAATAATGTTTAAGTGATTTACTCAGAGATCATGGAATAAAACGTAATAGAATAAGATGAATGAAGTATATAATTAAAACAAATAAACGTTTTGTACATGTATGCTACCTTGCCATCGGTTGATTTTCTTGACATACAATTTTTGCAGGCGCATCATCTTAAGAAAGACGTTACAAAGGGTAATTACTGATATTGAAGAATCAGTAAGTATATTATGGAAACGCCTTTATCCTTTGAAATGTTAGTAAGTTAGCAGAAACAAATGACTAATGAAATGAATGCATGCAATATAAAATGACATACTATGCCGTGGTAAGCGACGAAGTGCAACTCAATTACATTATAAAAGATATTGAACGAATGTAGATTCAATATTTAATCTATTGGACGAGGTAGTTTTTAATCTTGAATGGTTATAACCCAGAACTGTAAAAATATACATAAGCAAATTTTATGTCATTACAAAGGCCCATTATTTTCGAGATTTTAACTCAGTAAATGCACATAGATACTTAAAATATAAACATATATTATATTTGAATTATCGTCTTAAATACTCTGTTGAAGATATAAATTGGAGGGACTTACAGATTAATAAACAATGTTTTCAAACCATTGTGCTTACCTGCTCAATGTCATTCCACCAAGTTACAAAATCATGAGGTTGTATTTCAGTTGTTGTAGGTAGATGACATATCTGAAATGATAATTCGCAAGTGAAATAGCGGATATAGAGCTGCATTCGTTTGTGTTATATATTAGAGTAAAGGTTTGATCAGAAACGTGTGACATTTTTAGTGCATAACATGTCATGAAAACGAGACCTGTTAATAAAATGACAGAGTTCCTAAACGTCAGACCTGAAGGTACGTCAGACAGTCAAAGAAAGTAATTCAATGAGCATAACACGGAAAAATCATGCAAATGAATGTAGATGGTCTTCATAATGCATCTTCTCGTTCAAAAATTGTTATATTATGTTTAAGGCAATGCACTTTGTCCTCATGAAATTCAATGAAAAAGTCTTGCTAGTAACTTTAAAACATAAGACTTGTATTCCAGAAATTATATGTTAATCTTCTGTCACATTGACAGTTTTCAGATAATAATTACTTTTTATGGCATACTTACTTCATTTCGATATGCTTTTAGCCGACATATATCTGCCTCAATTGTTAAATCGGTTGAAATGGGTTTTGTGTTCCAGTCAAATTTCTTATTCAATCCAAAACACTTCAAGCATCTCAGAAGACATATGATAAGCGTGAAGTCCATCTCTGACGTAGTTGGGGCTTGGCCACCCGTTGGAAACAATATGTCATGTTGTACCTGTGTTATAACGCCACGGCTTTTCAAACGTGTAATTGTTGCCTTTTCGTTATTCAAACATGTACTTAGAGTTACGCCTTGAGCAGTCAGGGTTTGGTCAATTATATGTCTTAGCACTAGGAGGCCTCCATCTATAATTATTATCTGCAAACGGAATAGATGGACACGGTTGTCTGGCTTTTGTGCCATTTTCTTGCCTTCTATCTGTCTCCAGATTTTGTTATGGCATCCTCTGTTAGTAAAGAAACATAACTTTTATTCTAAAATATTGTAAATTGATTAATTGATATTTTAATAAAATGATGTTTCAAAACAGGGACATGTTTTCACACTTGCTTTTGTTTATAGCGATTTTTAAATATAACAATTGTCAGATCGTTTGATGAAATTGGTAAAAAATAATAAATAAAAAAATAATAAAATGTTCATATTTTTAATGATGTTGGTATTGATAGAGAAATAGACATATGCATATTTCAGTTTTTTCTGTTTTCACGGTTGAAGTAACCCATACATGGCGTCATAATTAAATATCAGAAACAGTGATGAGCATGAATACTATTTTTTCTTGTATTTTTATGTGAATTGTTTTTCAAAATATTTTAGAGATTTTTTGCATGTACTATGTAATACAGATCAAGGGTGAGCAATGTTTAAGAAACGCAACGCTAGCAATATCCTAAAACAACAGTGCACAAAAGGGTACAAATCGGACAGTGGCAGACAAAAGGTGCTGGGAAGCCAATTACTTACTAAAGGGGACTTTAAGTGCAATCAGAATTGATGATAATTGTTTAAGAAGGGAATAAGAAACATTGTTTAATAAGAAGGAGAATAAGGAAGACATACACGGGTAGCAATAAAGGGGAAGAAAACCTTGTCGAACAGGCGGATTTAATAAACATGAACGCCAAAACCGAACTCTTAAAAAAGACAATACATAGACATGAACAAGATGGCCACTGCTTTGGAACGGTCAATAGAAATATACTACTTGGGAGTCAAGCCGGTTAAGATGCTCCCTAGCGCCGCCATGTACTTTAACGCGAGCCAGCGTGTCCATTGTCTCTGTAACGTCTTTGGATCCTTTCATTAGGAGAGCTATTTTATTCAGCTTGCTTACGGAACGTCAGTAGTTTTACTCATGTACACGTGGGACAAGAAACTTGTAGGTGACACTTCGTCTTACTATTAATCATTCGGTTTTTAAATGTCCACTTTTAAAACGGCACATGGATTAGTTTTGTTTATTTACCCTTATTTTAGCATTATATCAAGTGAATATCATTTCCGTTTTGCAATGTCGACATTTTTGACACGATTTTTTTCAGTCTTTTTCAAGTTGTTTGTAAATATCTGTTCATAACATGCAATGAGTTAAGTATTTATACTATTAAAGTTGTAATTGAAATATTAATCACATCTATTACAATGTACAAATACGAGCGATAAAATAAAAACTGAGTTCAGTTAATAATTTAAAATTTCTGCATCAACTTTTATCGTAGGGGTCCATATACAAACACCAATACACAATGCGGTTGTTTGCCTACTACATTTGTTCAATACGTAAAATTATCACAGTTTAATTTTTGTATAACTTTAATGATTATGTTAAAATGCTATTGTGTTAATTTTTGTTTTATCTATCTTTATATATATAAAGATAGATAAAACAACAATTAAACTTTTATTGTATATATAATTATTGTTTATATATTTAAATTAGTTGTAGAGGGGCATTGGGCAAGGGTTGTTTTGTGATATACACGGCTACGCACCCTACACCTATAGTTAGATCATATTGCTTCTGGTTTTAAATATCATTTTGACTGTCCTTGTAGTCATTGTTCTATGCTTTACACAAAAGAAATTCAACATTTCTGGATTTCTTTATTTACAGATATAATATATATGCGAACACGCCAATGAATTAATATATCATATTTCTGTTTTGCTAAACTTCAAGTAGTTTGTAAATATTGTGATTGTAAATTCGGGAATTTAATAATAACTTTATCATTTAGTTTAATATATCTGCTTCATCTGTTTACTGCTTGTTACAAAACAAAGTTTTATACATCTACATGTATATTGTTTCACCGTTTCAACAGCAGTCGATCTGCTGAAAACTAATTTAAGATTTAAGGTATCAAATGGGCCTAATGGGCACTATAAGAAACTAGAAAAATCACATCATAGGTCAGATATACCTTTTAAGTACACCTGTATGCAAAATTTAATCAAAGTTACCGTACGGAAATCAAGTTATGGCCACTTTTCTGAACTCAAGCCAGGATGTTATGAGGGCCCTTTTTTAGAAATGAGAGACCTTTAAATAATCTGCAATAACTATCTAATGAAAAATGTTTTCTTATTAATTTTTGGTAAGAAACAAATAGAACCATTCAGCTAACAATCCACATATTAAGCAAAATTATGGTTTCTACTTAAAATTTATGAAATCTGTATAAAAATTTTACCCTACCCCACTCATTTTTACCACGTGTCTTACCATTTTCCTACTTAGGGAGCCTATTTTAAAAATCTTTAAAATTTACCCAAATGAGTGCCTGTTTTCAAAGTTTCCCCAAATTTTTAAAGAAGTATATTAGTTGATCTTGTAAAATATAAAATACTTTTACCGTCTAGTTTTGATTTTATAACACTTTGAAAATAGCAGGTACCATATTTATTATTAGATTTAGCATACTTTTGCCAATAAATGCCTATTTAAATTTAAGAATCAATATTAAACACTTTTTTCTTTCCAAATGGGACATGAAAGATACATAAATAATGTTAAAAGAAAAAAAAAGAAAGAAAAACAAATTGACCCTTCTGGGGATTTGCAATGTAGTAAACAGTAATCTAGCCTATTTGAATACTCTTCAACACGGAGGTAATGCATTAGGATGGTAATACCTTAAACTTTATTTATAGAAATAACACGAATAACCACGTCAGTACATATATCATATTTCTGTTTTGTTTCGCTACAAGTAGTTTTTTCAGAGTAGAGGTTTCAGAGTTGGACATTCAGACTAAGTGAATAAATAGATATAATGTCTATTTAATGTCTGCAAAATTTAAATTGTTATCCCGGTTCACACACAAAATATTTACATTCATTTAAAAATTTCAGTTTTACTGTCCCAGGAGTCAATGTACTGTACGACAATGAATTTTGAACGCGTCAGGACATTTCTACTTATTGATTATGTCACGACATATATTAGGAACTACGAGTTGTACTTTATAAATATAATGCTACTTTTTTTCATTTCGAGTGATTAAGACTAAAAGTTTTTATAACATTGATTAATATATGTATTTAGTCATTCAAATTTCATTCAGATTTTACTCATTCTGTTTAATTTCTGTTGCAAATCAATGTTCATTGTCCGGCCATTTGCTGTTATTCATATTCTGTTAATAGATATCACTTATGATTGAACACATCTATGCAGATATTTTCTTTCTGCTTTGCTTTGTAACAATATGATTTTTCAAGTCGTTTATGCAATTTAAGCAAATGAAAAAGATATCATGTTAAATGAACACGATATAGGTTATATAGAATGTAGCTGTAAGCTTTTTTGTGATTATTCTTTTCCTACATAAATGTCTAAATTTCAAAGTTTACATAAACACGTTATTTTGACATTATTTATTAAATTGACGGTTATGTCTTTTCTAGTGCATGTTAACAACACTTAGAGAACTACAGTTATCCAGTACACTACGGTCTATTTGTATGAATGCTATCTATAGAAAGCAATCTTTATTTAAATCGCATGCCTAAAAACATATTATGGGATGGATCGTGAGATTTAAAGCGTTAACAATAATAAACATATTACCATCATATAAAGTATTTAACAGTTAAACTGGTTTAAAGCAGTTTATCTTATTTCCTTATCACATTAACACAGATTTTAAACTTATTACATTAATAATTTATATCAAATAAAAATTAAGAAATTTGGCACAAATAATAAAGTTAACGATAATTGGTCTCAAATGCAAATTGAGTGATTGGTTTACATTAAGACGAATTACGATGTATGAACAATGGCAGCATAATTGAAACAACTTATAATCCATAAACATCTTTCAGATTATTTTTCGACTGTTCGTTAATAAACTACGAGAGACTGTGTTCAGTTAAAGCAAGTAACAACGCGTTCAAAATTCCGAAGAACAAAAATTCATTTATTCATCAAATTATAACATCATAAGTACAGAAGGGTTATTGACAATAATGCAATGGGATTACATCGCAATAATGGTAACATTTTATATGTTATTCCACTGATATTTTTCCTGTTTATGTAAAATGATTATGCTAAACCTTGTCACGTTTGTAATTGCTTCTTCGGTCGAAATAAAACAAACTAAACAATAAATGCTAATGCTCTTGTTGCCAAATAGAAACTAAATAAACAAATAAGTACATTTTGTTAATAATGTTACGACACAATACTACTTTTTTCAATTACAGCTTTATATGTTATTACTTTAAATGTTCCGAATACAACTTACATCATGCACTGTCCAATGCTCGTAATATCTTTTTGAAAATGAAAAACGTTTAGGGTAGTTCAAAATGAATTAGCGAGATATGAACTAAAATGACCATTTATAGTACGATGCTCGACTCAACGTGGGCTAGACGGATAAACCTATACCAGCGGTCGCACGGTTAAACCCCCTAACCATCCCAAACATATTGGGTTGTGTGAAATTGAGGCTGGGGCTCACAGGGGCCAGCCGGGATTTCCGATATATAAGCTGAAGAAACCATGTAGTACGATGTTCGGCTCAAAGTTGGCAAAATACCATAGTATTCCCGACGGACATACCTTTGCGCGAGGTCACACCATTTCACGATCTACGGAATTGAGAATGGGTCTCCCAGGGGAATGACGGAATTGGCAATATATGAGAACAAATGTCCATCTATAGTACGATATCTAGCTCAACGTCGGCAAAATACCAGAGTATTCCCGACAGACACACAAAAACCAGAGGACACACGATCAGACCCCTAACCATCCCACCATATTGAACTTTGCGGAATTTAGATATGAGCTGCAATGATCATCAATATTTTGATTTTCGACTCAACGCCGACAAAATACCAGTGTATTCCCAACAGAAACACCTATACCCGCGAACACACATTCTGACCCACTTATCATGCCATCCAATAAGCATCTGCGGAAT